CCCCTGTTCTGGTGTTGGTGCCAAGGGCCTCCCGCCCCCTGAATTGCAATGGGGGGTGTTAGAACTGGCCCCCCCACACCCCGCCCTTCCCTCTGGCAACCGACGACGGCGAGCGCCGGCGCCGGCGCCGACGCCGTCGGGCAGCGACGACGACCATGACGACAACAACGACGACGATAGAGCTTTAGTAGGATTTTATGAAGGTGGGAATCGAGCTTTAGTAAGATGTGATTAGAGCTGGATCGAGCTTTAGTAGGGTTCAATTAGAGCTTGATCTATAATAAGCTTCTGTCAGAGTTGGACCGAGCCTTAGTACGATTCAGTTAGAGCTGGATCGGGCTATAGTGGCATTCGATTCTTCACGCTCTGGTAGCGGAGTCTGGGGCGCCTGGGTCAAGAGGGCAGCATACAGGCAAGGGAGCCACTACATCACGTCTGATCCCAGGCTCAATTCTGCACAACAGTGCAACGATTTCCTCCAGGCATGGAGCAAAGCGGAATTCGACGCCTACAAGATGGATAAAGAGTACCAGCTCCACGTTGACTGGCCGAGTGTCATGGAGAAACACCGCAAATTCATGCAACGCGACGCCAGACCGCGCACCGCCGGCGGGACCGTCAGCAGTGGCCGCCCACCCCCATGGACCGCTGCAGGCAAGGAGGCTGCACGGGCAGCCCCGCCAGACCAGTGGACAGGGGCATCCAGCTCAGGCTCGTCGTGGCGTGCATGGCAGTCCTGGGACGCGTGGGGGGCACCAAAGTGCGTCACGGACCGACACGGACCAGAAGGCGAAGGGCAAGCGTTACTCCCCCTGAGGAGAACACCAGTACGCTGACAAGCGCCCGCGGGGTTGGGACTCCCGACCCAGATGGCGGGGGCGCAACCTGGACCCGCCCGGGTCTCGGCCATCCCCCCCAGGCGTGAAGAGGGCTGCAACGCTCGCCGACGCGGCCCACCAACCCACGTGCTGCCTGCCGCGCGCAGCACTTACCACCTCCCCCCTCCCTGCCCGGCATGCGCCGCACCCCCCCTCCCCAGTCGGTTTCATCCGCAGCGCCCGGCTTGTGCCGCAATGCCCTGTGCTACCTCCTTTGGGGCGGAGGAGCGCCAATACCCTTGCGCTGCGCGTTTAGACAGCCCACGCTGGTCTCGTGGACCTAGCAGTGCCCTGCCTCGACCCATTACGTGCTACCTTCGCGGGGGCGAGGGACGCCAGTGAGCGTCGCTGATAGACAGCCCTCGCTGGAGACGTGGACCTTGCCAGGCCCTTTCGCCCCCGCTGCCGATCGCTGCGCGGGAGTGTGGCCGCAGCCTCCATCACGGAGGCCGCCGCCGGCATGGACTCTAGGGTCGTCTGTGCCCTCCCTGGGCTGCCCACTTTGGACGACAGTGACCGGTGGCTGAAATAACCCACCCCCTGCCCTCCACCCTTTCTGGCACTGTGTACGGCAGTGGTCGGAGCAACCAGCTGCCGCACTGCCAGCGCTCAGCCCCATTCGCCTCATGGGCTACGGGGTCGTCGGTGCCACCCCTCCAGGGCAGCCTACTTTGGGCGGCAGAGACCGGTGGCTGAAATAACCCACCTCCTGCGCTCCACCTCTTTGATAGCATATTGTACGGCAGCGGGTGGGGGTCGAAGTACCGCTCCGCCCGCGATCAGACACATTCCCATGTGGTGTGGAAGCTCCTCGCGTGGACGATCGGGATCGCCTGCACAGTTCAGCGGCCACTGGCTGCGCCTCCTCTTCCCTATCATTCACAATGTCTCTGCGGCTTTTGGCTGCGCCCCCCACCTGACTCATTCGCAATGTCTCTGCGGCTCTTGGCTGCGCCCCCCATCTAGTTCGCTAAGATCGCACCAATCACTGCGAGTCAGGCGACTGGGTACACCCCCCGCGCCCTGGGCTGTGGCGGCGCCCCCTCCTCCTCCTTCTCCTCCTCCTCTCCCCCTTCATTCACATTGTCTCTGCGGCTTTTGGCTGCGCCCCCCACGCGGAGTGTGTTGCGATCGCAGAAGTGCTTCCGCGCTGAGTCGGTCCGTGCATGGATGCCCAGGGCGCAGCGCCTGTGTCCAGCGGCATCTGGCTGCACCCCCCCCTTTCGTTCACAAGTCTCTGCGGCTCTTGGCTGCACCCCCCCGCGATCAAAGGCAGTGATAGCATCGTGCGAGGATATTGTGACCAGGGGAACAGTGTCGACCAAACCCAGCAGGTCAGCACGCGGAGCTGTGGACAGGCTGCTGGCAGCGGTATGCCTACCCATGCCCCGGTCGCATCCGTCCTCCGCTGGGGCAGCGTGGCAGGTGGTGGACGGGGGTGGTACCACGCACCACGCCGTATGAGCGGCTTGTATCGCGTGGTTCAGCCTTCAGCGGACAGGTGGTTGCCCTCCTCGGTGCAGCCACGCGCCTTGCCTTCGCCAGGACATCGCATTGTTGGGCCCCCGGACCTCGTGTGCCGGATACGATGTGGATACTGGCTATCGGCTGGCTGCCAGCCTGCGTACGCTGTCGCGATGCGGCAGTGGTGTGGGGCCAGCTCTTCCCCGTTCACACCGCGCTCAGCGGCAGGCGGTGCCACCCCCCACCTGCGTATCGCCTTGGTTCTACGTTGACACGGTCATGGCGCTACCACAAGGACGTCGCTCTTGCTTCTTGAAAGGTGGAGATAGGCGCGTTCGCTAACCTCACTTCCGGTGTTACCTGACGTCTGGCTTCACCAGGGATTGGCCCTGCACGAATGGTTCATCCTTCTGCAGTTCATGGCCGTTCCCCCAGCAGACCAGTCTGCATCAGCCTCTGTCAGCACTTGCAACGTTGTGCCCCCGAACCGCGAGAGTCGGATACGTTGTGCGCGCGCTGGCTACAGGCTGGAGGTGGCGACGCCTCGCGTTCGCTGACGGGGTCGCCCCCCCTCTCATGTGCAAGGGCGGGCTTCAGCCGAGTTCTGCGCGAGTGAGCCATGGTGAGTGAGGCCGTTCTCTGTTCCGCCTCTCTTTTTCTTATTGACGCTTTGTGCCCCGACTGACGTCCGCAGCGGCTCTCTTGCCCCCCTTCCGGCCTCGCTTCCGCGTGTCGTTCGGCCGGAGATTGGCGCCGACAGGGCGACTTCTCCCCGCTGTTACAGTGCACATGGCCACGCTGTGCCGCCGTTGCCGCTGCTCGATGCGCCGTGGCGCCCCCGCCCGCTGGGGTGTCGGCGCTGGTCTTCGGTGTTTAAGTTGGGTCATTTTGTTCCTTGCATGTGCATGCGCCTTTTCCGCTAATTATCTTCGGTTCGCGCCCCGTTCGACGCCCCGCTCTTGACCTTTGCCAGGGAGCCGCCAACAAAAAAATCCCCACCAGCGGCGCACTCGCCGCTGGCGCTCTCGCCTGCGGCTGCTAACAAAACAGTATCCCCGCCAGCCCATCCAGTATTAGTTGCCAGGCGAGTTGCCCGAGTGAGTGAGGTGTAGCAGTGCGCAGTAAAAGGGCTGCCTAGGAAGCGTGCGCGGGCCGCAGAAGCGACTGGAACATATGTTGAATTAGTTAACGCCTGTTCTGATGCCGAGGGCAGTCTTGAGCGTCTTGGGTGCCTCGGGGACCCTCTTGAGCCCTCTCGGGGGTCTTTCGGGAGGAGCCTCTTAAACGCCCCTTGGGCGTCTCTTGGGCTGTCTGGGCGCTTATTGGGGCCCTCTTTGGGCGCTCTTGGAAGCTTTAGGGTTGGTCTTGGAACCATCTTGAAAGACGTCGATCAAAGAGGGGGGGGGTCGCAATTAGCATTGCGCCTCGAGAGTGTCAAACATCGCCTCTTGGGGCGCTCTTGGGGCGCTCTTGGAGCGCTGTTGGGCGCTCTGCGGCCGTTTTGGATGCCTCTCGGGCCCCTCTTGGAGCCCTCTGGGGCCATCTTGGAACCATCCTGAGGCTTCGGAAGGCCATCGGAAGCGAAAACGCGAGAAAGCCAAACACATTGATTTCCCGTAGGTCTTGGAATGACTTTGGGCTCTTGGTGGCCTCCTGGGGAGGTTCCGTGGCCACCTGGAGCCGCCTTAAAGCGTTTTTAGGGCTTCTTGGAGGATTTGAGGAGCCATCTGGAAGAATCTTGGACTATCTAGAACTATCCTGGAGGTCATCTTGTGCTCTCTGAGGCGTTTTTGGATCCGTCTTGGGCCATCTTGGACGCTCCAAACCCCTTTGGAACTCCCCGTCCAAGCGCATGTGAGGGGGCAAAGGGGGAGGGATAAACCCCTCCACGAAGGGGAAGAGGGGGGATGGAAGAGAAAACTCCTTAGACCTCCTACGCTCAGAGTGCTGGTGGGATTAGAGGTCAATCAAGCTCGACCATGATGCTACTAAAGTTCGATCCAGCTATGTTAGGATCTTGCTAGAGCTGGGCCGAGCCTTAGTAGGATTCAATTTCAGCTGGATGCAACTTCGGTAGGATTCACTGGCACCCCCCCCCCGGTTCTCCAGGCGCGACGCATGTTTTGCCCCCCCCCTCCCGGGTTCTGACGTGTCCAGGGATTCGTTCAAGACAAGCGTTCACGAAATGCGTTTTCTCGAAGTTACGATAGGTTCGTGCGGCGTTGGCGCGCCGTTGTCGACGGCGAAGGCGTTCAAGGTTGAATTCTGTGATGCGGGAGCACCGATGGACACGGTAACGCCACTGAACCCGACGGAACTCAACCTTGAACGATTGGGGCCGCGATCGATTCAAGGTTTAACGATCGACGCGGTGTCAAAAACTTTTGCGCGCGCGGACGATGCGCGAACCGACCGTGACCGGTGACGGCGCCAAAACCCCACCAATCTGATTTTCGGAGGATCCCAGGAGGCACCCAATATTGCTTACGTGGCCCGAAGGGACAGCGAATTACCCCTGCCCGTATTCTCGTATGTTGTAGCACGACGTATCTATTCGTGCTGTCTTTTTCGCCCTTGTCTCTCTTGACGCACATGGCGTTCGAAATACGGCATGTGTCATGGCTTCATGCTGTGTATATTGTCATATGTGTCGTTCAGGCATCCTGGCGCTGGGACCAGTACGTTGGTTGGGGGTCAGTGACTTCTTATGACGACCCTCCAGAGTATCCGTGCAATGTGAACGGGTTCGTCGCGAGTCTTGCACCTGGCATGGGTTATTACTATGATCCCGCCGCGGGGACAGGCGGGTTGTGCAGGAGTCGGTGGTTCAAAGGTGGGGTCCTGAGGGATGGGGTCTTAAAGATAGGAAGGGATCCGAGGGTTGATTCACATTGTTCGAGGCACCTCGTCCTTAGCACCCCATCCCTCACGACCCCATCTCTGAACCACCGAAGGAGTATCCATGCGGACAACGTTGAGCATCTCCGACAGGAGTACGGCTCGGAACTCTGGACCGGAGGGCCAAACGAGCGCCGCTCCGACCGCAGCACGGGCACGACGTACCTGCCCGCCGCACAGGCACAGGGACGGTGAATTCGAGACTGGGAAAATCGAGAACTGGAGAGACCAACTCTCGAAGACAACGCTGCATAAACACAAACTTTTAGAGTTCCGCGTGGATTTCTTGGATCTGCGATGGGCGCCCCCTCAGGCGCGAGGAGCGCGGCAGGGGCCGGCGCCAGGGGTGTCCAGCGTGGATCCAAGAAGTCCGCGCAGATCTCCGACAGGTTTCGTCTACGCACTTCTTCCCGGAAAGGGCTCCTGCCCAGGGTTCTCTTTTAGGAGATTTACCCCTGGTTTCGACCTGAAGAGGCGGAATTGTTTGCGATAAAGAACGAGGTGTTTTGTTGTTGTTGTTGTTGTTGCTCTGCTGCTGCTGCTGTTGCTGTCGCTGTCGCTGTTGTTGTTGCTGCTGTTGTTGATTGTTGTTGATTGTTGTTGTTGTTGTTGTTGTTGTTGTTGTTGTTGTTGTTGTTTTAGTTGCTGTTGTAATGGTTGTTGTTTTTGTTGTTGTTGTTGTTGTTGTTGATGTTGTTATTGTTGTTGTTGAACTCTCATTTCTGAAGAATAATTATTGTTGATCCCCCCTGTCCAGTGCACATGGCTTTTTCTCGATTGAAGTGCCCTTTCCCGGGCTCGCACCCGGTTTTTTATCAGGGAAAGTCTTGAGCGTCAAACTGTGTCGTTGGCCTTCGGGTTACAACAACAACGGCTCCCGCATGAGACGGCCTCACAATTTAGCCAGGAACCCCGCTCCCGCCCGAGACTTCCATTTTATTCAAGAATCGCGCGCTCGCTTGGGACTTCCTTACAATTTATTCACCAATCGCTCTCCTGGCTCTCTGGAGTCGCGCTCTCGCTGGAGATTTGCTTGCAATTTACTGAAGAATAGCGTTCTTGCGTTAGAATTTCCTGCAATTTGCCCAAGCGCCGCGCTCCCGACACCCAGGCACCCAGGAGTCGCGCTCACGTTCAGGACTCCCTCACAGATTACCCAAGAATCGGGATCTCGCTGCCCTTCGTGGCCCCGTTGCAGTCCTTCGTGGCCCCCTCGCTTTGTTTCGTGGCCCCGTTGCAGCCCTTCGTGGCCCCCTCGCTGCCCTTCGCGGCCCCGTTGCAGCTCCTCGTGGCCTCCTCGCTGCCCTTCGTGGCCCCGTTGCAGCCCTTCGTGGCCCCCTCGCTTTGTTTCGAGGCCCCGTTGTAGCCCTTCGTGGCCCCCTCGCTGCCCCTCGTGGCCCCGTCGCAGCCCTTCGTGGCCCCGTTGCAGCCCTTCGTGGCCCCCTCGCTGCCCTTCGTGGCCCCCTTGCTGCTTTTCGTGGCCCCATCTATGTATGCCCTTCGTGGCCCCCGCTCGTTCCCGCCCGTGGTGGCCCCAGATGCATGCCCTTCGTGGCCCCATTGCAGTCCTTCGTGGCCCCCTCGCTGCCCTTCCTGGCCCCATATATGTATGCCCTTCGTGGCCCCCGCTCGTTCGCGCCCGTGGTGGCCCCATGTGCATGCTCTTCGTGGCCCCATCGCTGCCCTTCGTGGCCCCGTTGCTGCCCTCAGTGGCCCCGTCCTTGCCCTCCGCGGCCCAGTATACGTATGCCCTTCGTGGCCCCCGCTCGTTCGGGCTCTTCGTGGCCCCATACGCATTCCCTTCGTGTCCCCGCTGTCGCCCTTCGTGGCTTACTTCGTGTCCTTGTGGCCCTGCTGTCGTTCTCTCTCGCTCTCGCTTTCGCTCGTCGTCGTCGTCGTCGTCGTCGTCGTGGTCGGTCCCCTGAACGTCCCTCTTGGGGTCGGGTCGACGGTCCGCGGCCGCCCCGCCGATCAGCGCTGCCGCTGGCCAGGCCGACGGTCCGCGGCCGCCCCGCCGCTTGCCGGGGCCCGGCCTGCAGGGAAGAAAGACATACCCCCAAAAGGGGTTCGATCGAAGACGAAGAAAACGGGTATAGAGGGTTTGGCAAATACGCGAGATTGGACATTCGAGCAGATAAGGGCGAACAGTCTTAAACTTGATGTTGTTGTTGTTGTTGTTGTTGTTGTTGTTGTTGTTGTTGTTGTTGTTGTTGTTGTTGTTGTTGTTGTTGAATATTATTACTTCTAAAGAATAATTATTGTTGGGCCCCCTGGTGCACGCCCCCCCTGCGCCGCCTAGGCCGCAGCTACATTTTCATCATTTTCGTGAGGAAGCCTCAGGTAAAACGATGTGATCCAGATCCGGTTGTTTTGTTGTAATCCGTTTTCCCTTGCAAAAAACACTATAAAATGACATTTCTTGTTCTAATATAATCAAATTTCAAGAATCCCTTGCAAAAAATAAGGTAAAGTGGACATTCGCGCGCGCAAGACGAAATCCTTCCAAAAGCTTAGTGTTCGGAGCGATTTTAACATAAAAACATCAAAAAACCAATGGTTTTTCAACAAAAAAATGTCAAAATCTCATCCCGCGCGCTCTTGCGGATTCGTAGGAAACCCAACACTTTTTAAACATTTCTGTCAAACGGGCTTTTGCGAGCAACTTTTTCGAACTTCTGCGACAACGGTTGCGCACCTGCCAGGGCCATCATCCCTGTCAAATAATACCATGCGGGACACATTCGTTTTTTCTTCGCGCGCGCACGCCGTCGTCGTCGGCCGCGGGGCCCTGAATAGTAGCCACGGTCGTCCGCATGCCACGAAGTGAAGTGTCCGAACGTCATAGGGCGGGAAGCTGGGTGTGGGTGGTGGCGAAGAGTCGTTTGGAAATTTGGTAGAGCTTGAACCGGCCCCCCCACAAAGTGGGGGTATTGCCCGCCTCCTATGAAAACCCTGGCACTGGTGAGAACGGAGTGTCCCCACGTGCTAGTAATTGTTGTTGTTGTTGTTGTTGTTGTTATTGTGGTTGTGGTTGTGTTTGTTGTTGTTGTTGTTGTTGTTGTTGTTGTTGTTGTTGTTGTTGTTGGATTTTCTTTTTTTTCATAATAATTATTGTTGATCCCCCCCACCGGTGCATATTGTTTTTTGTAAATCAAAGTGCACCCCTCGACGCTCGCACCCTGTTTTTTGACAGGGGAAGTCTTGATGCTCAAACTGGGCCCCTGGCCCCCGGGTTACAACAACAACGGCTCCCGCTTGAGACTTCCTTACAATTTAGCCAGGACCCCCGCTCCCGCCCGAGACTTCCTCGCATTTGATTTAGGAAATCGCGCTCTCGCTTGGGACTTCCTTACAATTTATTCACCAATCGCTCTCCTGGCTCTCTGGAGTCGCGCTCTCGCTGGAGACTTGCTTGCAATTTACTGAAGAATAGCCTTGCGTTGGAATTTCCTGCAATTTGCCCAAGCGCCGCGCTCCCGACACCCAGGCACCCAGGAGTCGCGCCCGTTGTGGCCCCAGGTGCATGCCCTTCGTGGCCCCGCTGTCGCCAGTTGTGTCCCCCTCACTGTCCTTCGTGGCCCAGTTGCTACCCTCAGTGGCCCCATAGTTGTCTTCTGTGGCCCCGCATTATCTGCACTTCGTGGCCCCCGCTCGTTCGCGCTCTTCGTGGCCCCATACGCATTCCCTTCGTGTCCCCGCTGTCGCCCTTCGTGGCCTACTTCGTGCCCTTCGTGGCCCTGCTGTCGTTCTCTCTCGCTCTCGCTTTCGCTCGTCGTCGCCGTCGTCGTCGTCGTCGCCGTCGTCTTCGACGTCGTCGTCGTCGTCGTCGTCGTCGTCGTCGTCGTGGTCGGTCCCCTGTCCGTCTTTCTTGGGGTCGGTTCGACGGTCCGCGGCCGCCCCGCCGATCAGCGCTGCCGCTGGCCAGGCCGACGGTCCGCGGCCGCCCCGCCGCTTGCCGGGGCCCGGCCTGCAGGGAAGAAAGATATACCCCCCAAAAGGGGTTCGATCGAAGACGAAGAGGGCGGGGATCGAGGGTTTGGGAAATACGCGTTATTGGAAACTCGAGCATATAAGGGCGATCGGTCTTATTGTTGTTATTATTGTTGTTGTTGTTGCTGTTGTTGTTGTTGTTGTTGTTGTTGTTGTTGTTGTTGTTGTTGTTGTTGTTGTGCGTGTGTGTTTTTTCCCGGCGGAGCCGGGTGAAATTCCGTGCCCGCCGGCTGACTGATGACTGACTGAACGTCAGGGGACAGCTCGGGAGACACATTTCAAACCGCCCGCGGGAGCGCAACCCGGCGGCGCAACCGCAACCGCGACCGGGCGACACATTTCAAAGCGCCCGCGGGAGCGCGCAACCGCAACCGCAACCGCAACCGGGCGACACATTTCAAAGCGCCCGCGGGCGCGCAACCGCAACCGCAACCGGGCGACACATTTCAAAGCGCCCGCGGGAGCGCGCAACCGCAACCGCAACCGCAACCGGGCGACACATTTCAAAGCGCCCGCGGGCGCGCAACCGCAACCGCAACCGGGCGACACATTTCAAAGCGCCCGCGGGAGCGCGCAACCGCAACCGCAACCGCAACCGGGCGACACATTTCAAAGCGCCCGCGGGCGCGCAACCGCAACCGCAACCGGGCGACACATTTCAAAGCGCCCGCGGGAGCGCGCAACCGCAACGCAACCGCAACCGGGCGACACATTTCAAAGCGCCCGCGGGAGCGCGCAACCGCAACCGCAACGGGCGACACATTTCAAAGCGCCCGCGGGAGCGCGCAACCGCAACCGCAACCGCAACCGGGCGACACATTTCAAAGCGCCCGCGGGAGCGCGCAACCGCAACCCAACAACCGCAACCGGGCGACACATTTCAAAGCGCCCGCGGGAGCGCGCAACCGCAACCGCAACCGCAACCGGGCGACACATTTCAAAGCGCCGCGGGCGCGGCAACCGCAACCGCAACCGGGCGAACATTTTCAAAGCGCCCGCGGGCGCGCAACCGCAACCGCAACGGGCGACACATTTCAAAGCGCCCGCGGGCGCGCACCGCAACCGCAAACCGGGCGACACATTTCAAAGCGCCCGCGCGGCGCAACCGGCGCAGCGCGATTGCGCCCGCGAACCGCAACCGCAACCGGGCGACACATTTCAAAGCGCCCGCGGGCGCGCAACCGCAACCG